AATCCATTATTAACTATTTATTTCCAACATTAAATACTAGTTTTTTCAGAACATGAGGATTAAATTGGGATCAGTTTTCATAGATATAGATGAAACAAATTAAATAGGCCAATTATATTAAACCAACATTAATTAAATTTGCAATAATAAATTCTCAATAAATGTTTTCATCATTTTTTACTCAATTTTCAATAAAGGTCATGGATATGCTTATATTATTAAATATAAGTAGTCAAGAAACTGGTAGAGTTGTGTGACAGTCTTTTCTTTGGAAAATATTTTTTGAACAAGAAACTTTTAAAAACTTGTAGTGAAGAAACTCGTGAAAACTTAGACTGATAAATGTTTGTTAACTTAAACCAAAGAAAAATGAAACCTTGAACCTAAAACACTTTTGAAACCTTAAAAAGTCGACGAAGTCGATCTCAATGGATAATCAATACTATAAAAAAAATACAGGATGATCCACACCTAAGTTATCGTTCTATTATTCTATATAACAGAACACTACTAAACACTGGCCTCTAATGTTATTTTAAGTCAATAAATAAATCAATAAATAAAATACTTCCAATTTCATGAAATGGTTCAAAATATATGAGCAAGCAATCAAGGCAAAACGTATTTCTGTTTGTTTTCACAAAATACTGCTTTACATTCTGGATAGTTCAAGTTTGTACTTTCAAAAATCAAAGAAGTAGTATCTTAGTATCTATTCTGATTATTGGATTAAGCTTAAACTTTAACCGTATTATTATTTACTTTGTAGATGTCCAATAATATTCTAAAAAGAAAAATTATTGTAGTCATTTCATGTATGCTGCAATTTATGCTGTGAAAAATATATATTTAAAAACGTTTTTTAAATATAATCTACAATAGCTACAATCAACAAAGTTGTGTCTAGTGCAAACCTTTTATTTATTAGCCTAATCGAACCCAAAATGAACGGAATCTGTTGTGTAATATATAACTAAAACGGAAGTTTTACCGCCCAATTTTAGTGCATATTCCCTGTAAAAAGTTTCTGCAAGTTTTTAAAAGGCACAATTTCAAGTTTTTCTTTTATGTCTTACTTTCTTTCATAAATCGGAAACTTTTTCCTTTTGTACTACAAAATCCTTTTTATCTTGAATACAATTTATGAAAGGGTATTAAAAAACCGAAAGATTGCTTGGAAAACATATTTTAAGACTCTTATATTTAAAAGTTAAAGAAATGTAATTTAATTCATCTTTTTATAAAATATTTTCTACACATCTCAGAAATTTATTAAATATTATAATATTATAATATTAATCTTCTTGTTCTTATAAATATTTTTTTACATTTCTCGGAAATTTATTAAATGTTATACTAAAAAAACGAAAATATGTCCGTTTCGATTTTTAGAATTTAAAGGTTTGCCTTATTACTTAGTGGTAGCTTTTCTGCACCATTAATATAAATATATAATTTAAATCGATTGCAAATGGATGATTAATATTTTATCGAGGTGGGCTACCAAAAAAAAAAAACACCAAAAACTTACCTTTGAGGGGGAGAAGAAAGAAGTTTATTGAATTCGTCATATCTTTTTTGGGAACTCTTGGAAATTAGGTTTAAAATTGAGGTCTGTTGAGAAACAATAAAACAACCAACCCCAGAAATCTAGTAATATTAATGGTCGCTTTTAATAAGAATCTAATCATAAATCATATGCCATCAACGAAGAACAGAACAGAATATTTATCATAAATTTATGATTATAAATCCTGAAAAATGATACCTAACCAGCAGGTAAAAATTAGTTTTATAATAATAAATGCAAAAAGAACAATTATAATATTATTAGTATAAAAAAATTGTCTTCTATTATATAGTTATCAATAAATAGAGAAAACTACTCAAAACAAACTAATTAAAAAAGGTCATTAAATTTGAGGTCGAAAGCTTTGAAATCACAAACAACTTTTAAACTTTCAATTTAAAACAGAATTCCCAAGTTCTCAAAAATAATCTAGGAAGAACTTTAAGAAAAGAAATTGTAGCAACACAGATTTTACCTCCAAAGTACGTTTAGTCAACTGTCATTACCAAGTGGTATATATCATATTTCATGAAGTGATAATAGCAACCTAATCAAGGGCGTTCCAACCCGGGGGTGCAAGGGGTGCGGGCCACACGAGCTGCACGTCAAGGGGACAGCGAGCAACGATAAAAAGAAATACTAATTTATATATTTATTAGTACTAATATGGTAAAATTATAATATAAAAATAATATCATTATACTAATTTGATTTAAAAATGCATTTACAAGTTTAACTGGAAATAAACAAAACAACATTGACTTTAAAAACGCTATTTTACGTCGCAACCAGTCAAAAAATAAAAACATTTAAACACTTTTTAACTCATCATTAAAAAACCTAGATCACAAGTGTGTATCGCGACAGTGCCCCGCCTTGCTAAATCGTCGATTGGCCGGTTGTATCTGCGATGTTCTGGAAATTAGACCGACAGGAGGGTGATGGCATCGGTGCGGGCGATTTTTGACAGGTTGCAGGAAAATTCTCGTTTATTCCCTGAACCTACAAATACACCGTCATCCCAGATAATTTGTTAAACCTGTCAATATCAACAACTAAAAATAAAACGTTTAATTTTAGGCAATTTCCCTCTGGAAGTTGCTAAGTACATCAGGTAGGTTACAATTGGAAAATAATTGTTTGGTTTTTGTATATCTAAACAATCAGGATTCAGGAAACATCACATTTCTCAAGTAAGATAGATGTCATTTCTACCAAAATCTGATTTTTTAATTATCACATTTTTAGATTTCGAACTTCGAGATATATTTTCAAAAAATTAAATATTATGTCGATATCAAAGATATATACAAATTGAAAATATATCTTATAATTTATGTTTATTACGTGTTTTTATTAAATTAATTTCTACATTCTTAAGATTAGAGAAAATGCGGTTGCTATGCTCCCTAAAAGCCATTGTAATAAATCTATTTGAAAATGTAAGCCAAAATAACACAATTCGTTCAAGCTATTTTCATAAAAAAGATGTAATCATCTCTAAGCACTAATGAGAATTGGCGAATACAATAGTTTAACCCTTAGGAGTTTACGATGGACCCATAGCAACATAAATTATCTATTGGTTAACGAAGGTGATGTAGTAGAATCAGTTCAGAAATAGCCTCTCTGAGCCATTAATTAGATACAATTTTCTTTTTGATATGATGCTCGGAAAACATGGAGAGAACATAATAATGGAATATTTGCGTGTAGGATCCTTTATCTTTAAAGAGCAATTTGTTTTCTTTATTATTTTCTTTATTTTTGAAACATCGTTTATGTTTAGAAATATCAATTACAGAGCTCATTAGTCATATTCCAACAAGGTAAACTATTTTAATTGGAGAAGACCATTCTAGTTCCAACTTCTTTGAAAACTGGAGATCGATTAGATAAGTATTCCAGAATAACGTCAATATCAACACGTCCGATATTTTTGCTTTTGATATTTTCAGTTAAAATAGTAAAGCGCCCGTTATTCTTCAACATAAATGAATTAACAACAACTTTGTAGGTTTTATTTTCTTCTAATTTTTCGTATACGGGTACTGTGCAATTTTGACAACGCACTTTAATTGATTTAACTCGTTGACCAATAGGAAGGCTCAAGTCGTAGTTTATTTGGAAACCTAGAAATTGACAAAAATATAAATTAGTAACCAGTTAATAGTGATCGATTTTATATTTAATTGCTCTGAAGAGATGGGGTTTTTACTAATTGATGTTGTTTCTCCAAAAACGTTTCTAAAGTTTATGTACATTTTTTCAAATCATCAATAGAGGTGTTAAAAAAACCCTTAACAAAATTATCAGAATCGCGGAAATGACTAGATCGCTAACATTTACTTAAGTATCTATTTAGAGCAAGGTTGGCAAAGTCAATAAAGTGAAAGCTACTAGAGTGGTTGTTATCCAATACAGATGCACGAATATTATATCCTATAAGTATAGGTATTTTATAGTAATATAATAATTATAATCGAAATAAAGTTTATTGTTAGCCGGTCCAAAATAATTTTCAACAACAAATAAGCACTGTCTCAGTCTATCGCTAGTAAAAGAGCATGCGCATTGGGTTACATTCAACGGACATGTCGGGCGCAGCTGCTATGTTGTATCATGTTCTATCACACGGACTTCGCACGTTCTACTTTCTATCTCGCATAGGTATATTTAATTCCTTCGATTTTAAAACTTTAAAGTATGGCGTTAGTATTCCGTCAACAGTTTTTTACAGGCAAGCCTATAGATAATTTTTGTAATTAAATTATCTCTCTTCTGGTATCAATTTTTATTGGTGGACAGATCGATGTAGTTACCTATATTGACTTACTGTTCATACCTGCTTGCTAGGTAGCCATGAACAGAAATAAGTAAACAAGCCTACCGAGGCATATTCTCATTCTCCATGCTAAAAACTCTGTTAAAATTAAATTTGTTGGGTTATCAGGAAAGTGAGGGTTATAAAAAAATTATTAAAATGTATTTAATTAAAAATAGCCATGAACACTTTTTGAATGGCAAGTTTCCATGGGCGTGTTTAATAATTTTATAAAATTTCATAAAAAATATGCCTCATCTGGTTATCAGATATGTGAAGGTCGATCTCACACCGTCTCTTAGACTATAAGGTGTTTTAAATTTCCGACAAAAAAAGACATTTTGATTTACACCTGTATAAAATTGCCAAAACTGATTACAATAATTTTACACAAAATAAAAATAAATTTATTTACAAACTGGTAGGAAATTCATAAAAATAGGATAAGACATAAAAAGTTTTCAAATTATAATTAGGTACTTATTTTGGAAAAACACGTTTGGAATAACATAATAGATAAAACACATAATCAGTTGCAATCCTATGCCAAAATTTATATGTTTAGGAATTTCTATGAGTACAAAAACGTAGGTATTTTATACTTACCAGATAACTGCAATAAATTTAGTCTATTATCTCCTTCTCCACTTGGCATGCCGGTAAATTCAAATAATTCTCTGAGGTATTTTCCTTCTATTTCTATAATATCAAAGGTGTTCTCGAAAGGTTGTGACACAACCACGTCATTGTAAGTAATTTCTGAAATGAGAATATAGCATAAATAATATTTAATAGATTATATCACGAATATTAATATTTTCATTATTTCGTTGTTTGAATTATTTTATTTTAAAAAAATATAAACAAAATAACATTATTTATAATAATGGGAAAGAGAGCAGGGTGTAAAGTGTCTTTGAGGTCATTATAGGTCACTATCTAGATGGATGTAGCGAAAGTTGTGAAAAAAAAAACACCCACACCCCCACTATACACCTATAGCCAACATGAGCTGGTTTTTTATAAGATAAATTGTGATAAAAAAATATGCGGATGTTTCCCCCTCACTTTTTTCGGGGAGGGGTTAAAAAAATCTTGCTATAGTATCTGCGTTACCTTAGGGTAAACAAACATTTTTGGTATCTCCCCATATCTCCCCTCTCCCCCCCTCTTCTACTTCTTCTCCCTCTTCCCCATCTTCCCCCCTCTTCCCCCTCTTATCCATCTTCCCCCATCTTCCCCCTCTTCCCCATCTTTCCCCTCTTCCCCCTCTTCCCCCTCTTCCACCTCTTCCCCCTCTTCCCCCTCTTCCCCCTCTTCCCCCTCTTCCCCCTCTTCCCCATATCCCATATCCCCCCTCATCCTTCCTCTTCCCCCACCCATCTAAATTTTCTATAGGATCTGTTTTTATTTTTTTTATATTTATTTTCGATATATTTTATGACGTATTGTCAGCAGAAGTCAAATGTATTAATGCGCTAAGTACTACCTCCCCCCCCTTTTTTGGAAGCCTCAAGAGTGACTCCAAAATGAAAATTTCACATTTATATTGTGCGCATGATGTATGGGACCAAAGCTCGAGTCGAGTCAGACCTATCTTGTCCCCCCTATCTTGTCCCCCCCCCCCCCCACCACCCTTCAAAAAATTGTCAAGAGTGGACTTAAAATAAATTTTTTGGGATATTATTGTGCGAATAAAATTGAAGAAGTATTATTGTGCGGGTACTTTATGGGATCAAAAGTCGAACGTTTTGGTACCAAAATTTCCCCCCCCCCACTTTTTTTGAAATTAAATTAATCTAAAAATTAATTTCAGATGAAATAAAACATATAAAACATAAATTAAATATTAATAACACATTAATAAAACATTAAAAATAAAACAATAAAAAATAAAACATAAAATAATATTTACAGGTATTGACAAATTTTTATTAGAGACTTTTAGAATATTTTTAAAATAAAACGAGCAATATTTGAATTTAAATATCGTTTTATTTTGAGAATTGGTATTTTCTAATTCAATGCAAGGAACAGTAACCGCATTTGTTTTGTGTCGTGTGCTATAAGGGTGATTGATAGATTATTCCAGCGGAGCCCATGCAATAAGTTCTTAGTATAGATTCTACAAGTGAATAGTATAGTATTTTAAGATAATAATAATTGTTTAAACATTTTGTTAAATTTTTAAATTTATGTACCATAAAACGTAGTTTCTTTACTACGTAATTCACTTGGATGTACCGTTCTACTGTTGCCTTAATTTGGTTAATTGGTCGTGTTCTTTTACTTATATTTTTGTTTTTTCAATTCTATCTTTATACGAGGGTTGCCTTTTATATTTCGGGATCAAAGAACAAAAACAAATATTAATCATCTAAAATCACTTTATTGTTTTTCAAAATATTCTCCATTAAGATCTATACACTTCTGCATAGGTTTAAACTAATTGTCGAAGCATGTTTGCCTTTCTAATTGAGGTTTTTCGAAAACATGCATTCTGAAAGCATCAATCGCTTTATCAGGTGCCGAAAAACGTTACCTCTCAGTTTATTATTTACGTACGGGAATAGAAAGAAGTCATTCGGTACCAAGTCAGTACTATACAGCGGATGACTCGTCACATCGACGTTTTGAGTGCTCAAAAATGCAGTTGTTTAAGCCGATGTGTGAGAGCTCGCATTGTCGTGGTGAAGAGTGATCCGCCTTTGACGGTTGGATTTTCTCATTTCTTGGAAGACAACTGGCAAACAAATGGTTGTGTACCACTCAGAATTGGCTATTCTACGTTGTTCTAGTGGTATGGTTGGTATGCTTGGAGGTGCTTCGTGCGCGAGCAACTTTTGTTGGATTATGCTCATCTTGAAACACCCATATAGTCGACTGCTATTTATTTTTAAGCTCCTACGCGTGAATCCACAATTCGTTACCGTGTTTTGAAGCACCGCGATCGTATTTTTTGAGCATTTCTTTCTACCAATCGACACGAGTCTTTTTTCAACGATTGACAAATTGTGTAGAATCCAAAGCGAACAAATTTTTTTGACAGTAAAATCTTTATGCAATATTAAAATGTATGATGGTCCCACGAATGCCTAAGGTTGTCTCAATCTCAAGATAGATCACATGACGATCTTCAATATCAGTTCGCGCACAACATCAGTGGTTTCTGGAACAACAACTAATTTTGGACGATCTTCACGAAATTCGTCTTGGAGCGAACTACGACCTCGATTTAATTCACCATACCATCGATAAACACTGGTTCTTGAAGGAGTTTCATCACCAAAAATTGCTGAGTTAATCCACGTCGAAAGTTGTAAAAAATAATCGCGCGAAAATTTAATTCCATTTTTTAACCGAGATGAATCTTTTATGTTACTGTAAACAACACAAATAGCGCTCGTATGTCAAAATGTTCTGAGTACGCATGACCTCAAAAATGTCAAACTTGACGACAGAGCTGTTGCCAGTTTGCAACACTAGGGTATGTCCAATCCCGAAATATAAGAGGCAACCCTCATAGTAGTCGGTTGTAGTTTTTTTTATAAAATAGTTTAGGTAGTTGCGATCGTTTTTAAATTTAGTTTAGTCCGCTCGGTATAGTAATTTTTCAACATTTTATAAATAATTTTTTAAAAGACTCCCATCCCTTTCTTTGTGGATCAATCTTTGTAACTTTTCGTGTATGAATGAATATTGTAGGTAATTCTGGTTAGGGTGAGTTGTACAAAGGACGCTGTAAACCCAATAAAGCTAACAGGAGTTTAATTTTTAAATAGTTTTATTTAAAGTAAAAATGTTATTTTTAAAACTATGTTTAACAATAACCGATGATTATATAATTAGGGTTACAGTTTAATCTAAAATTACATTTTAACTGCCTATTGTACAACCCACCCTATAAGAAATGTATTAAAATGTTGAAAAGTAGTGATATAAATACCTAAGTGAAACCGAAAATTGAAACAATTCTAGCTCTGATAATTTATGCTTTAAGATCTAGCATAAGCGACAAGCACCATTATCTGCTTTTAGAGTTTCATTTATTTCTTGACGTTTCGGAGCCAACCTCGCTTTTTCTATTTGCTATTATTCTTACTGTTTCTTTTTTGCTGTTACCACGACGCTGACACTGGGTGATTCCAAAGATTTATTTGGACGAAAATGATGTATTTTAACAGATTCTATAATTTATTTAATTCTTTAACACATATAAATTAAATTATTACATCAAAGAAAATGAAAATAAACCAGTAAAGAAGGTATCACTACTACTTCTTTGCCCTTGTAAAAATAATATTTGTTTCTAATATCAAATTTAAATTTATGAGTTATATTCTGGAATTCATTAAAGTTAGTGCAGAAATGATCGTTACTTGACCATCCTATATATTTTATAATTTTATAATTAGTTACGATTAGCTGCTATAAGAAACAACATTTTTGATAATTACCTCCTATTCCTATGTTAGCTCTTAAACTACCTGGATTCGTCATAGCTAGAGCGGCTTCTGTCCAAGACCCTTCAGCTGAATTTTCCGTATACTAAAAATAAAGACAAAATATTCACAAAATTTACATAACTAAAATAAAATAAAAACTGACTATGTAATTAACTTAAGTAAAATTGTCAAATAGATTTTAGAAAACTTACTGAATAAATCATTGCATCTGTAATAAAATTGCCTAAGGTACATTCGTAATTATAACGTCCTGTTCTACTTAGTAATGTCATTGTAGATCCTACAACTTTTAATCCTTGTATATCAACTATATCTTTCCACGGTTGTAATTCTTTATTAATAGCTTCATCTGAAATATATTTTTGATGATAAAAATATATACAGAGTGTCAATTTGAAAACAAACAGCGTTTAATATTGCCTCTGCCAATGATAGTATGAAAATTTGTTAATTTGAGGACAATTGTTGAGGTATTTGTTGTCGGATTACTTTCAATCTCCTGACTCCCAGGACACGTACCCCTAAAATTTTAAATGACAACCCCTATTTCTTTTACAATTTTTGTGTTCCTTATGTAATTCTAGATAAATTGCATTATTATTATTATTATTTTGTCAAAATTAAAGTATGTACCTAACCTCACAAATGTGTGGAATGTATTTATTATTATTTATTTATTTTCTTATTCAAGCCTTTCGGCCCAATTACATGAATAAACATATATAATTACAAAAATACAAAGTATTTACATCTAAGGTAAGGGGTAAAGCTATCAAAAACTACAAATGTATGTTTACTTCACTTCAATTAATTATAATTACGTTAACCGCATAAGGTTAATATACAGTGAGCACCATAAGTCTTACCCCCCTATCTAACTCATTACTAGAGTCTTCATTTCTACAATGTACATTTTTGTATAATTAGTTTACCCTTAATTTCATCCCTTACTGGAGGGGAGCAACCCTTTCGAAAAATTTAAATGGCATGGGGTGGTGAGTGATAGCTCATTTGAAAGGGGGTTTTATTCTCTATTCAACCGTGCAAAAAAAAATTAAAATTTGCTTCATTACGTGTTGATTTATTAATGTTTAAAAATAACAAAACCTCACAAAATAGGAAAGCAACTAAACTAACAGTGACCTTCTAATGGCTAAAAGTCTTACTTCACGTCTGAACCAAAACCGAAATCATGCAGGGCGGAATTTTAATTCTAAGGATGAGTGCGCTACGTTAATTTCCGTTATTTTACACGGTTGAATAAAGAATAGAACTCTCTTTCAAATGAGCTATCACTCACCACCCCATGCCATTTAAATTTTTCAAAAGGGTTGCTCCCCTCCAGTAAGGGATGAAATTAAGGGTAAACTATTCAAACAAAAATGTACATTGTAGAAAACAAAAATCGACATGTCTCTGCGATTTTCCTAACAAGACTCCAGTAATGAGTTAGATAGGGGGGGGGGGGGTAAGACTTATGGTGCTCACTGTATGATTTAGTATGGTATTGCGAAAAATATTTTGTGGAACATTCCAGTCCAATTCAATAAGAGAATTAAAATTGTTGGCCAAACGAAACATGGTCACTAGAGGAATTCTGTTCATTAAATGTATTGTCGGTATATTAAACATAGCTGACGTCCTAGTTCTGCGTGGTGGAACATTGAATCTAATTAGAGAAAAAATATCAGGGGAATTTATTTTATAATTAATTATCTTATATAAAAATATAACTAAATTCAGTGTACGTCTGTTGTCTAAAGATACAATTTTAAATTCGTCTCGAAGGTTACTAGACCTAATCAAGTTATAACTCTGATACTTTTGTAATAAAAATATCTAAGAAATTTTTTTGAATCTTTTCAGTTTCATTCAAATGAGTTTGATACTCACTTAACCAAATCAGAGAACCAAATTCTAATTTAGATCTGACTAACTAAAGTAGATAGTTTTTATTGTATTGATATTGGAAAAAGTAGAATTTTGTCTTATTATAAATCCCAATAAGCGATTTGCAGCTTTAATTACATTTTTCTGTGAGGGGCATAAGATAACTGATTTGTAATAAGTAACACCTAAATCTTTGATCTCTTCATTTCTCTTTAATATTTCGTTATTTATCATATAATTAAAAACAACTGGGTCCTTTAAACGCGTTAATGTCATTACATAACATTTGATAATATTAAAATAAAGTTTATTTCTTTGACTCCACTCATACAAATTATAAATGTCCTTTTGTATCATCACACAATCCCTCACAGTTTGTAACTGTTTTTATATTTTAAGATCATCTGCAAAAAGTAAACAGTCTAAATATTTTAAAGCCATAGGCAGATTTATAAAAAGTACAAACAATAGGGGGCAAAGATTAGATCTTTGTGAAACACCAGAATTAACTGAAAACTTACCTGACATATTACCGTTAGTCTTTATAATAAATGATCTATTCTCCAAATAATTTTTCAGATTTAACAACTTATCAGATAATCCAAAAGTATTCAATTTTTGAAGCAATATATCATGATTAATCTTTTCAAAAGCTTTTTGAAAATCTGTAAAAATAGTATCCAACTGTTTTTTTGATTCTAAACTACTGTAGACTTTAGTATCAACTGATTTATTCATTACAAAATCATGATGTTGTGGTACTACTCGTATGTATTTTTCTGCATAATAATATACTCTTTTGTAAACATAGGTTAAATATATGAAGTAAAGGTTTACGAAGCCATTCGTAACAGCCCTTTAGAATTATATGGAGGAAGTCCATCAATGCCTGCTGCTTTTTTAGCTTTTAGTTTTTTAACTGCCAAATTAAAATCTGCTTCAGTAAATAATTTGAGAGAACAACAATCAGATTATAAACTACTTTCCGAAAAATTTTAATTATAAGTTGCTTTGTTAGCCGTATAAACGCAGGAAAAAAAATTTGCAAAAGCATCAGCCGATTTATATATATTAATAGGTTCACCCTGATATGTATAATTTTCATAATTTACTAAATTTTCCTTTTTTTTATTGACAAGTCCAAAATAAGTTTACATTTTCACAAGAGATCCTTAATTCAACAGGGCAATTTATTTTGATTTTTTACTCCTTCCAATTTGGGTACCCAGGTATCGACAATTTAATTCCAAATTATATAAAATTTATCTAAAGCCATGTTTACATTAGGTTCTATTAAAACGTCGGACCAGTCGGCATCTCTAACCGTTTCTTTTCCCTTGACCATTTTTTATATCATTATACAATCCCAAACTATTAAAATCTAAAAAAAATCTAATAAAGAATTTAAGACGTCCTTATTAATTGGAAATTTATAATTAATTCCGTTAATTTCAGATAGGTTAAAGTCTCCAAAAATGTATGTTTTGTTAATATCCTCAATGTTTTCTTAAAAAAAATTAAATACCAATTCATATATATGTTTAAAATCAGGAGGTATGTACACGGAGAAAAACATATACTTAACACCGTTTATCTTTATTTGCACAGCTAATGCCTCAAAATAATTCCACAGTTTAACAACTTTTAAAATTTTATAGTTTTTCTTAATGCCTATTAGTACTGCTCCACCAGTACTTTTCTTTGTAAAAATCAAATCCCTATCAGCTCTTATCAAATTGAATATGTCAGTAATAACAATTTCTCCATCTCTTACCCCATTCTGTAACCATGTGTCGACAGCAATAACAATATCTATTTCGTCATCCAGACTATTGTTATAAAAATCTCTAAGTTTTGTATTGATACCTCTGCAATTTTGATAGCCTACCTTTATTTACAGCAGCACAGGCAGTGGACATTGATATGAAAACAAGTTTGAGTTGTGTTATTTGAGTTACATTTTTACTAAAATATAAGAAAGATAATGGTATATCTGTAATAATTAAGAACCTGAAATATATTTTTTCAATATATAGCAGCATTAATATTATTTCATAATTATTAAAACCCATTAAGTAACTATAATGCAATAATTTTGCGACAACGGAAATTAATTTTTATTAGGTACATAAAGGCGTAAGCCCACCTTTAAATTCTAAATCTATTTGTCGAACAAATAAATTAAAAAAAGCAAATCAAAAAGCAAATGAAACAAACAATATAGCTACAACTTCGTCTATGATAAATCGGTTTCGGCATTTATAACTTTGACAATGTTGCCACTCTTCACAGAAATTGTACCATTTCAGGACCAAGTTGTATATTCCTTCATCTTTGCTGCCATTAACAAATTGTAAGACTTTTCACCGAGTTCTTCGTTAATAAAAATATCCGTACCTATAAGATCAGATCTGGCACCATACATAATATTTATTTTTATAGTGGATATAAAACTGACTATAATTTGTCTTGGTTTCATCTATTATCTAAATTTAAATAATGCAACTTTTTAAAAAATTATGATAATGATATAGGTCCGAAAAAACTCACCTTTACTACTTTTTGAATTATTCAAAATGGTTTCCATTGTGTTGTAAGCACAAGTACGATATTTAAACTGTTCTCGGACATGTTGAAGAGTCTCAGGTAAAATAACTCTACATTCTTGTACAATTCTGCAGCTGTTTAATTGAGTCTGATTGGGTTTTGAATACAAGGGATTTCCAAGTGACACCAGCATTGTTAGATCTGGTGACCTAGGTGGCCATTCTATGGGTCCTCTCCTACCAATCCACTGCTTAAGATAATGACTATTTAACCACTCTCTTAGTGGGTGTACATAATGAGGAGGTGGAAGTGCAGCAAATGTTCATCTAGAGCAGGCCTGCACAACATACGGCCCGCGGGCCGCATGCGGCCTGCCATTATCGTTTTGGCGGCCCGTTGGCTGTTGACCAGTTTGGCCCGCTTACGTCAAACTATTCATTTTTCAGTAACAAACTTACATTTAGGCCTTTTTTTGCTGACGACCTTTTTTTTAGAATCTAGAACAGACCACTATAAACTCAGGCCTCTCTTGGCCCTCCTACACTTACGGTTTTTCACCCTTTCACAGGCCTTATCTAGATCAAGGTTTCCGTTGGTATTCCTTTAATTTTCCACCTCATGAATTATACATTGTTTCTGTCTAACGTTTCGACATTAATTTGACTATTTAGATTTTCATTTATTAAAAGTGGACCGATGATAGTATTGCATAATATACCCTCCCAAATTACTATTTTTGGAGGATATTACGTATGCGCCTTTCTAATAATGTGTTAACATGGACTGATTAATAATCCTGTTGGTCATATATTTGCAAAACTCAATACGTCTGTCCGGGTCATCATCCCCTAATTCTTGAGTAATTAGCAGTTTGTATGGATAAAATTTGTGAAGATTTAATATTTTCCTGACTGCCTCATGCGACAGTCCAGTTTGTTGTGCAACTTCATGAAGAGTCGTAGTAAGAGTCATATCAACTTTACCTCAATATGAGCGGCTTCGTTGAGCAATCTTGACACATCCTTTTCTTATTGCAAACAAATTCAGTTTCTTTAAATTTAGCTACTATCTCACGGATGTACGGTTGTCCAACATTTCTTTCCGGATATCTTTCTGTAAATATGGCCGCCATTCTTGCAAAGCAACGGTTTTGGGCTACATAAATAAAAAAATTCTACAACAATAAAGTAAGCCATTTAACTAAACGGTTACAACTTGAAAAACAACAATTGAAAACTATTGAAATTGTTTATGTACGATGTAAATAGCTTTCAGAACGTATTTCACTAATCGAAGAAGCACAGCAAATAAATAAAATGAACACCACGAGTCAGAAAATAATAAAGAAATGTACTTATTACTTGTAAATATTATCAGTACTAAGCAAACCGAGAATCTTGTTTATTCGAAGACTCACAAAAAACATAAATTATTTCATGGTTTGTAGTAGCAAAATGGAAAAATATGTAAAAGAATTTTAAATGTAGTATTTGTAGGAACAATAGTTTTTAAATGAAGTGCTGTGAGGCGGTGAATGCAACCCGTTTTAAGAAGTTGCATTGTCTGAATGTAGATATTAAATACATTCCACACATTTGTGAAGTAAGGTACTTCAATTTTGAGAAAAAAATAATACAATTTATATAGAATTACATAAGGAACACAAAAATGGTGAAAGTAATAGGGGTTGCCATTTAAAATTTTAAGAGTAGGTGCCCTGGGGGTTGAAAGTATTACGAGAAAAAATGTCATAACAATTGTCCCCCTTCATATGTAAGTTGATGTGTTTTATACTATCGTTGGTATAGGAAATATTAAATGCTGTTCGTTTTCAAATTGACATCCTGTACAATAAATTTAGTAATTTTCTCTAGACAGAACATCATTTGATTAATTAAGAAGACCCAATGAATTATCTGTATTTGACCTTGAAGAAACTTGTGTTTTTTAATTATTTGACGTACGTCTTATTGTACTGTTTAATTTCATTATCAAACCTTTTTATTACAGGGTCAGAGTAAAGCATATAATCTGATTTATGTGTTTACCTTTTAGAATATCAGAACTTAGATAAATTGGTGCACCAGAATAATCTGCAACTTCTCCATATTCATCGAGATAAAGTGTTATGTTTCCCAAATATCTTGAATAAGCGGATGCTTGAACTACTAACACTTTGTTTCCATATTTACTTTTAATTGTAGTTGGATAATCGCCACTAACGGTATCGACCCCTGGAGGATTGTCTAAAAATAATTAAATTAAGAATCATAATAATTCTTATCACGAATTTGAATTCTTTATGAATTACGTTCGCATCTCTGGAATCCTGAAAAATTTTAAATTATCTTGACTGTGCTTTTGAAATTGATTTGTCATAAAGTTTCGGCAATAAGAATAAAGAATATCTTAAAATATCACTTAATATTATTTTAATATCAAACATTAATTTTATCAGATATTTCTAGCCTAGATAGTTAAGTACGGTAAAATAAAAATAAGGCAAAATCTGCAATAACTCTTCCAAATAGATGCCTTTGTAAGAAGGTTAGTCAAATTCCACAGAAATATAGATCACTGTATAAAAAATTGTGCTAAAAAAGTATGTGGAATACTCATAAGATTATTTAACAAAAAGCTAACATTTTTTCAAAATATCTCGCAAACATTTTCCAATCAAATGAAGTTTTAATTAAAGAAGAAGACAGAAAAGTTCTAGGGTGACACCTAAAAAGGGAGCTAGAAACATCAAAGTAAATATAAATTCTGATCTTATCACAGGTGAAATATTAAAACAATTACATACGAAAAAACTATGGTTATACTCACTAATATTATAAAAGCTGCATTTCGACTAGAATATGGGAAAGTCTCTAAAATTGTAATAATACGTAAATCTGGAAAACCAAATAAAATAAAATCCTACAGACTGTACCTGTACTTTCTAACCTTTTCGAAAAGCATTCACTAATGGGATTGAAATCTATCACTAATTTGGATTTAGGAATAAGCCCTTCACTATTAAAGAAAATATGTACTTTACTTTAGCTTGGGCTTTTGATAAAGTATATGGATAGAATGTCTTGAATATAACATAAATAAACTTTTAGCTAAGCAATATTATGAATTATGACCGGATAAAATCTTCAAAGTAAAAGAAGAAGAAAAATATTTCACACTTAAAGAAAATGAAGCAGGAGTACCTTAAGGAAGCGTTCTGGGGCCATTTATTTATCTGTTGTTTGCCGAAAAATTAAAAAATTAAAAAATTAAAAACGTGAAATGTGAATGAAATCACATTTGTCAACGATATAGCCATACTTGCTTTCTATAAAACCATAGAAGAATCAACCAAAAAACTTCAACAGGTATCTAATAAAATTTACATACCTATCCTACAGCTTTACCACTAAAAAAAAATTAGTAACAGAGTAACAAATGAAATTGAAATTTCTAAACTGTATTTCCTAATCTTATTTACTAACGAAATTCTATAGATATTTATAGTTACCTCCAGTGTATAAGAATGAATGTGAATGGGCACCAACGATCAAACTAATTCTCTTAGATGCATTTTCGGCTATCTGTTTGTCTATTTCGTATCCAGAATGAGACAAAACAATATTTGTAAATACTCCTTCTTCTCGAACTAAACGTTCAGCTTCTTCATTTACACTTGGTGATTCCAAGTGAAATCTTAATTTTCCTGTACTAGATATTTGCTAAAAAAAATTCGGACTAAAAGATACCATAAAAATAAGTTTTAATAACAGTTAATTAAACCCTGTGAGGATTTTGGGAAACTTTATGAAATATGAAGATAAATGTGACAGTAGACCGAAAATTTACTGCGCGATTCCTGCTGCCATTATTATTTCTTTTAATAGTCCAGGATCCGTAAGTAAGGTCGACCTTCACCCATCTGTTTAATGGATAAAAGTTTTTTATATTAAATAATAGTTATTTATGATATAAGTGCTAAAAGTGATATTTTATTTTGTGAGAAGTGAAGTTTGGAATACGACGCCGAAACACCATTAAAAGTCCAAATTAACGCATACCTATTTTACATTAATTAATTGATAGAATAATAGCCTCGAGATTATCAGTTTTGAATCCAGTTTCATCTAATCTATTCATAAAAGTTGTTGATTTATCTTTGTTGACAACTAACGTCAATAAATCACGAATTATTCTTTCTCGTTTCTTCGTTCCTCGATGGAAAGTTATCAGGAAAATGAATTTCAACCGTCGGAAATAGAAGAAGCTGCCAATAAAGCTGCTTTTGAATTATTGCCTAGTAAAACAAAGCAACAGTACGAGTTTTGATACGATCGTTTCTTGAAATGGTTTAATTAGAAAAATATCAGTGGCAAGGAGGCCAGTGAAAAAGTGCTTCTTGTACACTTTGAAGAAACGTCCAAAATATGGAAATCGTCAACGCTTTGGTCGAATTATTCTGTTTTTATATTTTCTCATAAAAATAAATCACTTTACACTAGTGCAAAAAGTGATTTACTTTTACAATAGAGTCATAAAATGAAATTTTAGACACTGACAGCATGCGTTAAAAATTATACTTTTACTGACGTTTGTAGAAAAAAATATGTTTTTAAATATACCCCAAATGGGTACCTAAGAAAATACGGTCACGGCCATTTTTTACTTTCCTTTCTGTTTACAGATAAGGAAAGTATAGAAATCATGATAAAAGTTATGATTATGATTATTTTGGCTTTATACATGATTTCCCTAAAATTGACCTAATTCGTGATATTTGAGAAAATGTGCAAATTTCAAATTTTGAAGACAACTCAAAAATGAATAAAGAGGAAAACAAAAAATTTTAAACTTAAGCTTTAATCCATCCTGCGGTGAGCTGATTAAACTTTCGGCACAGTTGGAGCATCTGGGGAATACTTTATAAGATGGCTTTTTTTTTAATTTAAGAAAATAAATAGTCTGGGTCGTATTGTTTTCTTATGCCAACCATTTGCATATTAATAAACATATTTTATTTAATAAAAATAAACTTTCATCCATTAAACAAATGGGTGAAGGTCGACCTTACTTTAGATTCTGGACCATAAATATGCAACCAAAATATAAAATCTTTCTTTAAATACGAAAATAATTACATCGCATGTTGAAATAATGACGCCAATTATTCCAATTTTTAAACCGTTCCTTTGGATAACTTTGCTTTTGGAATAAGTTCCCTGGATAGTTGGCTCCAAACTGTCATCTATATTACATGCTACTATAGGGTGTCTCAGACTTGTGATATAAGGTATAACACCAGCTATTCCATCATCAAAATCATGATTGCCTAATACCTAAAATGAAAGAGCGGCACAATAATGCTTAAGTTAAAATATATATAAAATCAGTGTAAAATTTTTAATTATTATTTTTTTAATTTAAAATCCCTATTGCTAGGTTCAATAGCACTGTAATCCACGAAAAGGTTCTAAGATCGATGTTAATAAATGCATTGAAGTCAGTGAGAGTAGAATTTATTTTTTAAACCAAATATAGACTTATTTATATTTCATTTTAATGTTTTTCGTCTTTATAAAAAATAATTGTGGTAGGAAATAAAATAATCATATTGAATTTTTAAATTCTTTGTTTAATCTTCTTAAATAGATGTTATTTAGTATGTGTGTCACTGCAGTTTTTTAATAAATTAATCTTTCAAAATCGTACTGCATAATTTTCAATAACTTCATCTAAGCTAAAAGTTGATCTCCATCTATCTCTAATCTCTAACATAAGCCATTTAACGACACGGTATCTGGTAAAAACAAAGAAAAAATATATAATTATCAAGATTTATCCATTAGCTCTTTAGCAAATATTGGAAAAGTTGTAAATAATACGAACATATAACTATGTTGGAATGTATTGCTAAAAGAGTTATACCTAAGAGAAAAAGTGGAGCCCTAGACTATCAAAAACTAAGGGTAAAAACCGAAGGAAATCTATCTTAAAACTTATACACAGATATTAATAAATATTGATGACATTAATAATAATAATACTTTTCTCTTACGAGTAAGCCTTCGTGTAATATACCTCGACATCTATGGGAAGTTTATTCATGAACTCCTGGCTAACATTCCATTTTCCAACTGAATACCACAGCGTTCCCTGGAAAGTATCACCTGCATTCAATACCAACGCATTTGGTGTCTCATTCAAACTTCTTTGAATTTGTGTATATAATCTAGAATATCCTCCTATACATTGCGACACGTTTTTACATGTATTTCCTTCTTCATCTGTTTCTTCAAATCTATAACAATTATTGTTTTGTTATTTTTTTTTTATAAAATATGATATATGTAAATATATACAGGGGTTTTCACGATTAAAGTAACCATGACAATTTTTTCAGGATAAAATTAAAAAAAAATGGTATTATAAATTACGCCCTCTAACAATTTTATTAATAAACTATCGTTTACCAAGAGCTATTGTGTATTAAGAACGAAAAGTGGTACTTTGCCGCTTGAGACAGAAAGTTGGCCGCGCTACGCTTATCGAAGCGTGGCAATCTGTCAAAAGCGGCAACGAACTTTTGGTTTAAAATGCACAAAATATTTTTTCTACGATTACATTAATTTAAGAAATAAACTGAAAATTTGTCGTAAGTAGTGCATAATGTGTTGCCTATATCTACGTTAATCATGAAAACTGCAGTTGATATTCAAAGTCAATGTTAAATAAAACAAAAATATCAAACTGCGTACAAATAACTTGAAAATAATTTATTAAAAATAAATATGATTATATTGCATCTAAATTTAAATTAGGCTAGCAACAAAGCTGTCAAGTTTGTCGCTTGACGAGCGACAAACCTGTTAATGTAAGTTCGCGAAAAACGTCAATTTTAGGGTTGTATTTCGAAGCGCAAAAGCCTACTTTGGATAGTGAACGTAGCAAAAATAAAGGGTGAGCCGTTAATAAGGGCCGATCCGAATTATAAATAAAACGCAAAGTATTTAGGAAATTGTTTTAATTTTATTTTTTTATGTTAGTATGGTTTAAAGCAATTATATGTGAAACAAAATATCGGCTAAATGTTTGCCACGGCTTCGGCGGCACACCTCCATTCGATGGTCTTTATTTTTGATGACGCTTAGGCATAATTAAGGTTCAATATCGTTAGTGTGCCGAATTATGTCATCTTTTAGCTTTTGAATTGTTTCAGGCTTATCGACGTCCACCTTTTCTTTAAAATAACCCCAAAGAAAGAAGTCCATCGATGTCAAATCGCATGACATTGGCGGCCAATTGAAATCACCCTTTCGTGAGTTAACACGGCTATTGAATTTTTCGCGCAAAAGAGCTATTGTTACGTTAGCTGTGTGGCAACTGGCACCATCTTGTTGAAACAACATATTGTCAAGATCCATATTTTCCAATTTCGGCCACAAAAAGTTTGTTATCACATCGCGCTAGAGAATACCATTCACGATAATTGCTTGGCCGACCTCATTTTCGAAGAAATACGGCCAATGATGCCGCCAGCCCATAAACCGCACCAAACAGTCGCTCTTTGTGGTTGCATTGGCTTTTCCACAATCACTCTTAGATTCTCATATACCCAAATGCGACAATTCTGCTTGTTGACGAATACACTGAGGTGAAAGTGTGCCTCATCTCTAAAGATGATTTTCTTTGTTCACATCTACTTCAGTGTGCTCTAATAACCATTCGACATATTGACGACACTTCAACTGGTCCGTAGGCTTCAGTTCTTTTTAATTCAACCTTATAAGCTTATAAATTCAGGTCTTTCCTCAAAATTTGCATCAGAGAAGTCTGTGGGATGTGCAATTGTTGAGCACGACGGCGAGTTGAAGTTGACGGCTCTGCTGCCATACTTTCGCGAACAGTGCGAGGGCTGTCTTTTAAGTTTTGCATATAGATCTAGAATAAAACAGCAGATGGTGTTTAAACATTTTATTGTTTTTCAAAGTGTTCTCCACGAAGATTAATGCACTTTTGCATGCGCTCCAACCAACTCTAAAAGCAGTTATTCCACTCTTGAAGTGTCACAGCTCCAATGGCAGTTTTGAATGCCGCAACTGCATCTTCTGGTGATTGAAACCGTTGCCCACGCAGTGCTTTCTTGATTTTCAGGAAGGTAAAAAAATCGTCAGGACTGTAAGGAGGGTGGTCTAACAACTCGACGTTTAGTTGCTCTAAGAAGGCAATTGTTTTGTGAGCTGTGTGCGCACTTGCATTGTCTTGATAGAGGATAATTCGTCGTTTGGGGTTGGTTTCTCGAAGCTTAGCGATGACTGCTGGCAAACAAATCATTATATACCAATCGGCTGTAACAGTTCTTTGCTCTTGCAAAGGAATTGTTGCAACATGACCTGCTTTGGAGACAAATATTGCGACCATCTTTTCGCGGATCACTTTTGTCGTCTTCACCTTGGAAAACCCAAATAGATGATTGGCGTTTATTTTCAGGTTCATATGAGTAAATCCATGATTCGTCACCACTTGTGATGCAGTACACGTTTTTAGAGTTTCCAGCGTTGAAGGGCTCCAGAGTTTTTGACACCAATTTACCCTAGCTTCTTTTTATTCTTCAGTCAACAGATGCGGTATCCAACGAGACACTAATTGTTTTACTCCCAATTCTTTATGCAAAATCTTTTGGATTGAGGTCTTTAAAATCCCTAACGATGCTTCAATCTCGCGATATGTCACATTCCGATCTTCCTCGATGAGCCTGCGCACAGCATCAATGGTTTCCTGGATGACTACCGATTTAGGTACATCTGTTCTTGGCTCGTCACTAAGATCAACCCGTCCTCGTGTAAATTCTGCATACCAACGAGAAATTGTCGATTGATGTGGTGCATCACTACCGAAAATGTTCTCGGTTTAAATCCATTTCTTGACTAGTCAACTTTGAAAAATCGATATAACTACAACTCTCTATGAATCGGACTGAAACTTGGAAGTGAGGTTAACTAAAGGAGAAAGATTATTTTTATTAGAGCCGATTGATTCGTAATGCTCTCTAATGCACGATATGCAAAACTTAAAAGACAGCCCTCGTAGCAGTGCTTTCCGTAGTACGAACTCTACGAACACGCACAGGTATTTTCACATCTCCTACAGACCTGGTTTTCTGATATTTAAGAACAGTTTTACCGATTGTACGCATATTTGGTCGATTATGCTGCCCAAAAAATACATGAAGTGCACGATATGCATTTTTGAATGAACGCCCATTTTTATAAAAAGTTTCAACCACCTTAACGCGTTGCTCATAACGTACAAATTTGCCAACGACTGAATGTTAGAAACGTCACTCGAAATGCCACACGAAACTTGACGTTTAAGTGTGATTCACAATTAAAATCCCCATACGGTTGGTTTACCCTTTACTTTTTTCTACACCCACATGGATATTAGCTTTACTATGCACAGACTACAAAACAAAAAAGTATACTATTGCGTTTAACTGAACGAATATATTTTATACCCATTCTATTTAGTGAAAACACTGCAAAAAATGAAATCCACCAATTATAGTTCATATTTCGGTCACCCGAAGACTATTAGGCATTCCAAACAAATGAATTGCCAGTGGGAAGGTTTGGTATATCTAAGGGTGGCAACATACGGTGTATTCTATCTACTTTACGTAAAATCATGAATAATGGATTACATTTAAATATTTTATGTCAAGCACAATACAAATAATATTTAAAAAACCCACCTATACATTTCTTCATAAATTTGCAGGCTTGGCGACTACTGCTTCGAATAAAAATAGTGTCCAAGTTGCAAGACTATGTCGCTACCTCCTTAGATATACAAGAATTTCCCACTGGCACCTATTGTTTGACAGGTCGTTGGAATGCCTAATTATTTTTAAAATTTTAAATAAGTGACAATTCTGTCAAACCAATTGTCAGTATATTTTTTAGTTATTGAACTTAAATATACATTAAAATGACTTGTTTTTGTGTAGAATCGATAAATAATAGCATTTCTATTTTTGTTTATACTATAATTATAAATAATTTGTTAATTTTAATAAAACTCTATGTAGTCAATAATTCAATTAAGTGTATTGAAAACTTTTTCTAAAACTGTCGGTGGATGGGTGGTAATAGTACCTATCTGCCTTTCACGCGAGAAACGCAAGTTCGAGCCTCGGCTGGGCAACTTTTAGATTAAATCGTTTTTTTTTTTTCTTCGTTTATTTTATTTTAAAAATTAATAAAAATCATATAATTTTAAAATTAGTTATTTTGTCTTAATAACTGATAATATTTTTTTTATTTGGAAATTTTCGTTAGTGGGTCGTAGAAAAAATATACTGTACAACTAGAGTGGATTGTCCACATCGCTCTCAGATGATTGAGCACTGCACCTACGACGTCGTACTCAAATTTCGTCTTTGTACGATATGGCCATCATATTCATTCTTGTTGCACAGAGTGCTATATATTTTTTTTAATAATCTTATTTAAAAATGTGAACTGACTGAACTATTATGTGATTGAAGTAGTACCTAATTATTGAAATAAATAGCCAATATTTTGAGTTGTTTAAAGCCTACAGATTATAAATAACTAACAAAAGAAAAAGGTCATATAAGAATAATCTTTAATAAGTACATAAATAAAACGCGAACTCAGTTGTGACTTACCTGGCGTGAAAATCGTTAAAATGCAACACTGAAATTTCAAAATATTCATTTACATTTATTATTTGTTGACCTACACAAAAGTTGAACACCAAAATAGTAAGTGTTACGCAAATCAACATTGTTAAAATATCTACGAGAGACTTTCGTTACATCAAAATATGTTACCTTTTATCTATTATGTAGACAATAAAAAGATTAAAATATTTCTTTGTTCGTAATAAAGATTTTTAGCATACCTAGATATATGTGTCGACTATACAAAGTATACTGAAAATATAATAATAATGACGATGAAATATTTCTTTAATTATGAAAAGGCAATTAAGTAAATAAAAATACATGGTGATATAGAACACATCGCTATCTGATTTAAACGAAGAAATGTTTAAATATATTGGACTGTAAAACAAGTAAAAATTTTTAGTAATATATTTATTATAAGAACATATACACAACAAATATTATAGAACAAATTTTATTATGAACATTTGCACAACAAATATTATAGAACAAATTGTATTCCAAGAACACTTTAAAAATAATACAACACCTATGGAGCTAAAATGGGCCATGTTTTTAAACTAGTTTCATTTTCTAAACGATTATATTATTAAATATTACACATCACTAATATAGAACAGTTTTAAGAACATTTTGGAAACCATAAAAGAACATTTTACAATATTATTATATGGTGTGGAACAGCGGAATGGAATAAATTCGGTAATAAATAAATGGGGACGTGTTCAGAAAAACGCTCGGTAAAGTCGGTTGGTATTTTTAGTTACGCATTTTTTTAACAGAAACTTTTTATACAGGGTATGTCATGGCCAATACCAACTTTCTTATTTCAAATGCAACAACCTCTATATTTTTCAATTTGTGGATTCTTTAGAAAATTCTAGACATATTTTATGTACTATGTCGTATACCTAAGTGTTACGCAAATATTAAATCTTTTTCGATTTATTGCAAAAATTAACATGAATAATAGAAACGCTGAAATGGTTTTTGCTTTCTTTCTCATTATCAAGACCTAAATGGAAAATAGTATTGAGTGTGCTGTAGCGAATTTCTGTAAACAAACAATTTTATTTTGTTATTGTTAATTTTTGCACTAAATTGGAAAACATTTAATATTTTCGTAACACTTAGCCACAATAGACCCATCTGGGTCGCAGTGAAAGGCGATGAGATCATTTCCCTCATTTTCAACCTAACCTAGGTATAGGCCATAGTATATACAATATGTCTAGAATTTTCTGAAGAATCCAAAAAATAATAAATATACAGGGAGTTATATTTAAAATAAAATAGTTGATATTGGCCACTGTTACATGACACACTCTGTATAAAAAGTTTTTCCGAACACGCCCCCTTATATAGGATGTTCCTAAACATCATGTCATAATTGAAGGAAGTAATTCGTCACTTTGTATTTTGTACCTTTCTGTTTTTCAAAAATTATTTTAGTTTTTAAAAATTTTCGATTTTCTTCGCTTCTTTTTTAAGAACAACAATTAAAAGCGTTTAATAGCACACGAGTTTGACCAGTTTTATTCGTTTACAGGATTTTTAATGGGTGATAACACCCTCTGAATCGAGAAGTACGCTTTAATAAGGAAAACTTACTTAGACTTTTCCATTGAGATAACTAACATAATTTTCAGACAATTTTAATTTTTTTTGGTTGTAGTGGCGTGCAATTACAGAGTTTTTATTTTTTATCTCGATAAAAATGCAAATAAATGAAAAAACACAAAATACAAGAAAGTTGGGTTTTTAATTGTATAATTCAGAGACCCAATAGAAAATATGGAAAAGCACAGTGGCGTGCTTTTTTTGTCAAAAATATCAATTAGGTTGTCTTTGGGTACTGCACTGGAATTGATAATTTTGATCAATTTGATCAATTCTAAATCAGCCTCTTACTCAAACAAATAAATGTACAAAATTTCTTTAAAATCGGCAAAAGAATATTTATGATATTGATGAAAATCTGATTATTTTTGAAAATTTTGACACCCTGTATCTTTGAAAAAAGCAATTTAGGACACATGTATATTTGAACTTCAAGTCATAATATGAGCCATGGAATTACCTTATTCAATTATGACATGATGTTTGGAAACACCCTGTATTTATTACCGAATTTGTTCCATTTGGCTGTTCCACACCGTATACCATTGTAGTATCAAAAAATGGATGTTATAGAGCACAAACAGAACTTTTAAGCGACTGTTCTCTAAATATAGCGTTAAAAATGTATTATGGAATATTTATGTCACCAATATTGTTTATAGCAACAATCGTATCATTTATATTAATGTCAAAAGGAAATTAAATATCATAAAAATTGTTGAGGTAGGAAATTATATATAATGTTATGTGGTTGGCTTATACTATAGTGTGTTAACTTAATCAACAAGGTTCATTTAAATGTAAATCTCACTTTTCCGAGATTTTAACGGAAATAATTTAATGGAAGGTAGAGCACACTTAACACTTTTTGTAGATGGGCACTAACAGGTAAGGTTGGAAATTATTTATCCCATTTTAATAATTAAATAAATTCGTCTTTCTCTTTTCCTAATTCTACGATTTGATTGTTGCATTAGTCAAGTATAGTAATTAATTAAATAGAAAATAAGTCAGTTTGCCCCACTTTAAAATATTCCTTAATTATTTGGTCAGTAGCCCTCTAAATTTATGCTGATTAAATTATTCAGTTTATAGTTGAGGGTAGAATATTATAAGGGAAAACGGGAGAAATTTCTACTTCAATTTCAGAATTTATTGGTAAAGTTGGTACGGTTTGTTTTTGAACACATATAGACCTGTTAGTTTTATTATGTTGATGCATGTCAATTCCACCTTGTTAATTTGTCCGATTCATGCAAATATGTTATTTACCTAATTCTATTATTTCGTACATCGGATTTGCAGCAAATCCAATATTGACTGTTTATTTCCAACAATTAATATTAGTTTTTTCAGAACATGAGGATTAAAATGGAATCAAATTTCATAGATATAGATAAAATAAATAATTAGGCCAATTATATTAAACCAACAGTAATTAAATTTGTAATAATAAATTCTCATTAAATATTTTCATCATTTTCTACTCCATTTTCAATAAAGGTCATGGATATACTTATATTATTAAAAATTAAATATAAGTACTCAAGAAACTGGTGGAGTTGTGTGCCAGTTTCTTTAGAAAATATTTTTTGAATAAGAAACTTTTAAAATGTTGAACTGAAGAAGCTTTTAAAAAGTTGTACTGAAGAATCTTGTGAAAATATATTGAACTGAACTGAACTAAAGAAACATGAAACCTTAAACTTAAAAATCGACGAAGTCGACCTCGATGGATAAGCAATACTATAACAAAAAAATACAGGACGATCCACACCTATTTTATCGTTCTATCATTCAATAATAACAGAACACTACTAAGCACTGGCCTCTAATGTTATTGTAAGTCAATAAAGAAAAGAGCAACAATAATAGAACATCTATTTTATTAATAAAAAGTAGATCTACATAATCTTTGTTGAATGTAAGGGATTTGGTGTTTCCCTGTACATTTAACTTTAACTTATTTTCAAGAATATAGTGGACTGCTTACATTAAAGGTGCTGGTTTTTCCTTCGTTGTTGAAGAAATAAAAAGCTGGCTACAATTAACAACATCTTATCGAAATTCTTCGAACTGTTATGTCACAAAATGAAATAAAATACACTATTTCTATACTAGAACGGCACTACTGTAGAAAATCATATTTTTGCCAACCTTTCAGCGTTTTTAGAAACTTATTTTGATAAATGTAGTATGGCGGCCTGACGCCTTGGTGAAAAACACATTGTGTTAACAGCGGCAAAGTAAGTCCTTTCCCGCTGAGAGAGAGATATATATATAGAGAGGGAAAGATCTATTTAAAAGCTTGTTCATGCAAAAATGGCGGGTTACGAAACGTCCTTTGCTTGACACGTCTGTTCATTAGTTTTTGCCGTAAAGTGTTCACATTACTTGTTACATAGACTATAACGTGAGTAAAGGGACAACAAGAGTTCTAGCACAATCCTTATGTAAATTAACATGGGAAATCGCTAAGATTCATTCTGCCAATTTTTGTCCATATCAAGGTCACTTGTTATGACGTCACGTGTCATGACGTCACCAGCCAACTGTTGTTAACCTAACCTAACCTAACCAGAACTAATCCGGAACTAATTCGGAACTGATCCGGAACTGATCCAGAACTGAACCAGAACTGATCTCGAACTGATCCGAAACCGTTTCAGAACTGATCCGGATCAGTTCGGGAACAGTACGGAATCAGTTTCGGATCAATTCCGGATCAATTTCGGATCAGTTCGGTATCAGTTCCGGATCAGTTCCGGATCAGTTCCGGGTCAGTTCCGGATCAGTTCCGGATCAGTTCTGGTTAAGTTAGGTCAGGTTGGCAACAGTTGGCTGGTGACGTCATGACACGTGATGTCAAGGCGAGTGACCTTGATCTTCGAGCATATATATTTCATAGAGTCCGCATTCAATAGGGTTTGTTTACGTTCTGAGGGGAAATGTCTAGACACTATTACCAGTGTCGCATCATTTTTACAGGGTTTGCAATTAATATAAATATTAAATTTGATACATACCTTCAAAATTCTTTAAATTATGCACATATTTTATAAACTTGCATTATTTAAGTAGGCGCCTATATAGTAATAGTAAATAATAATAATAATTATTATTATTATTAATATTATTATTATTTGTGTTGGAAACATCAGATTTTTTTAATTCAAACATCAGAAAGTGTATAACGGAAAAATGAAGGTTGAAATAATAGGCAATAAAAAAGATAAAAATCTTATATTTAAAAATCAAAAATATAAATAAATAGTAGGTATATTATACAAATATTTATGATCTCTTGACACACGTGTACGCGAATTACAATACAAGAACTTTTTCCAATAATTTGTTAAATATAAAAATATTGTTCGTAACCAATGCATGTTCAATTAGTAAACGATATACTACAAATAGAAATCAAGCTAATACTTAGGTACATTTGCACTGCTAGTCGTTAACAAATAAGTGAAGCTTCCTTCAGTTTTATTGGAAAACTGTCTTAAGCTTCGATTATTTCTTAATGACTAGGAGTGCAAGGTTTTGCTGATTTCTTAACTACTATTAGTCTACTTAATTAAAGAACATAGGTACATTTAATAAAA